TAATCCCAGCTACTCTAAAGGCTGAAGTAGGAGAGTTGCTTGAAACTGGGGGGTGGAGGTTGAAGTGAGCCAAGATCACGCCACTGAACTCCAGCCTGGGTGACAGAGTGAGACTCAGATCATGAGAGCATTGGAGAATATGAGTGGCAGGGCAGAGATTCAGAAAGCCTGGTGGGGAAGGTGGGGATCATAAGAAAGGTAGCTCAGGTGGTAGTTGCTGGAGTAAAATATTTTGAATCAAATCAAAGGATGGAAGAGAAATGATTTTCTTTCTGTTGTCCAGGCTGGAGTGCAGCCACGGAATGTTGACTCCCTGTAACCTCCACCTCCCAGGTTCAGGTGATTCTCCTGCCTCAGCCTCCCAAGCAGCTGAGATTACAGGCATGTACCACCATGCCTGGCTAATTTTTATATTTTTATTCGAGACAGGGTTTCACCACATTGGCCAGGCTGCTCTCGAACTCCTGACCTCAAGTGATCTGCTCACCTCGCCCTCCCAAAGTGTTGGGATTAGAGGCATGAGCCACCAAACCCTGCCTGTTTCTCTTATTATTTCATTTCCAATGATATCTTAACGGCCAAGCAAAGCTAGGTGAAATGGGATTTGGGATCTGTGCCGTGGTGAGGACACCACCTAACAAATGCCAGCCTTGTTTTAGTTTTGAGGCTCACACATATGGAAAGTGTGACTAGACCATAACAATAGAAACTCAGAATTGCTCCTTCAATGCAGGGGAGAGTTCCCATATACATTGTTCCAGAAGTTATCTGAAATAATTTTAGAAACATGACATGGTGGGTTATACAATAGCCCAAAGAACAAGAAACACTAAATTTCCTCTCAAAAAATAAAAATAGGCCGGGCGTGGTGGCTCAAGCCTGTAATCCCAGCACTTTGGGAGGCCGAGGTGGGTGGATCACAAGGTCAAGAGATCGAGACCATCTTGGTCAACATGATGAAACTCCGTCTCTACTAAAAATACAAAAAAAATAGCTGGGCATGGTGGCGCGTGCCTGTAATCCCAGCTACTCAGGAGGCTGAGGCAGGAGAATTGCCTGAACCCAGGAGGCGGAGGTTGCGGTGAGCTGAGATCGCGCCATTGCACTCCAGCCTGGCTAACAAGAGCGAAACTCCGTCTCAAAAAAATAAATAAATAAAAAATAAATAAATAAATAAATAAAAATTAAAAAATAAAAACCCCAGAAGAATTGAAATATCAGCATTCTACTCTTGACAGAAATAATCCTGATAATTCTGGTTCCTTTCTTCGATTTTCACAATGGCTTTTGTACGTTTTCTCCTTGATAAACCTCAGAACTGTATCCATCATACCTTTTGGCAGATGACCATGTGTCCTTTTTAGAGTAAATGAAAGTTGCCAGACAGAAACTTCCTTGACTTCCTTCCATAAATATGACAAGTTTACCTATATTGATGCCCTTTTTTGGGGTCTCTCCTGCTATTGCATTGAAAGAAGTGGTCGTCGTCTTTATCCATAGTCATTCCCTCCACCTGCACGTGGATCCCTTACTCTTGTCCTCCCAGGGGCCATGTTACATGAATTAACTTCTCATTCTACTGCCCCTTCCTCCAATTCTTTTTCCCTGCTAATTCTTAGCACTTAAAGAAGCTCAGGTCTTAACTAAGAAGTCTGTAATAGATATCTAGAAGTTAACTCAACAATTCCCCTTCATATGATCAAAGGGAATAATGTAAAACAAAATTTCTCCTTGGAGTCTTAAGCATCTATAACTCAGGACCACCTAAGTGAACTCATCGTTTTCCTCCCACAAACTTGCTTCTCCTCCCCCCCACTCTCAATTTCTCATTAGCAGGGGAGTGGCACCATGACCCAACCAAATATCTAGCTACAAATCTAGGAATTATCTTTGAGTTCTGGTCATTTCCCATAGCCAATGGATCAGTAAATCTTTCTGAATGTATTTTTTTTTTTTTTTGAGATGGAGTTTCACTCCTGTTACCCAGGCTGGAGTGCAATGGTGCGATCTCGGCTCACCGCAACCTCCGCCTCCTGGGTTCAGGCAATTCTCCTGCCTCAGCCTCCTGAGTACCTGGGATTACAGGCACGCGCCACCATGCCGAGCTAATTTTTTGTATTTTTAGTAGAGACGGGATTTCACCATGTTGACCAGGATGGTCTCGATCTTTTGACCTCGTGATCCACCCGCCTCGGCCTCCCAAAGTGCCGGGATTACAGGCTTGAGCCACCGCGCCCGGCCTCTGAATGTATTTTCAAAAGAAATTCTGCAACCAGCCTCTTCTTTCCCATCTCCACGGACACATGCTGGTTTAGACAACCATCATCTCTTGCCTGAATGATTTTAATCAATTACTAACTGGTTTCACCATCCTCACTGTAGGTCTTTACTACAATCTCTTCTCCATTCTGCAGCTGGAAGAATCTTTTAAAATCCAGATATGGGCCAGGCATAGTGGCTCATGACTGTAATCCTAGTACTTTGGGAGGCTGAGGTGGGCAGATCACTTGAGGTCAAGAGTTCGAGACCAGCCTGGCCACAACATAAGGAAACCTCCATCTCTTCTAAAAATGCAAAAATTAGCCAGGCATGGTGTTGCATGCTTGTAATCCCAGCTACTTGGGAGGCTGAGGCAGGAGTATCACTTGAACCTGGGAGGTGGAGGTTGCAGTGAGCCAAGATCACGCCACTGCCCTCTATCCTGGGCGACAGAGTGAGACCATTTCAAAAACAAAAAGGAAGCATCCAGATAATGATCATGCCACCCTTCTTTCAAGCAATGACTTCCCACCGCCCTTTGGATAAAGTATATACTCCTTACTAAAGCTTATGCTACTGTCATGAGCTACAACTGACTTTTTAGTTTCATCTCTTGCCATAATACTTTGGTCAATCTAAATGTCTTTTCGATTTCTCATAATTGCCATCTTCTTTGTAAACCTAAAACTCCTCAGGCTCCTAGATTAAATTAGTACCCCTCCCTACCTGCTCTGTGGTCCAATAGGGTGTTCTATTGTAATTGTTCATTTAATTCTTTACTGCAGTGTAAAGGCAAGGATTGTGTCTGTCTTGCTTATCCATTTATTTTTCAATTCCCCAACACCAGTCCCTTCTACCAGCCACTCTAGTATTCTGTTCAGTGTCTGGCGTCTAGGACATCCTCAGTAAGTATTTGTCAAATAAATTAATTACCTTTCAGAGTTTTTATTATTTCATTTACTAAATTCAATCTTAATTCTCCTATGGTGTATCAGGTAATATAATCACAGCACTTAAAAAAAAAATCTCATGTCTGTAGTAATACAGGGAAATTAAGTTTGCATATTTCCGGAACAATGAATGCTGACATCTTTGGCATTAATCTTTAAGACTTCAAAGTTTGTAACAATTACCACTTGTTTTCACAAAGCATTAGTCATTTAGGGAAACCTCTTTGTCTCCATATGGAGGTCGTATTAATGTAAAAAATATATATATATAGTCATTTATGTATAAAGATAATGACTGCCATTAGCAGGGAAGGATATTCAAGATTTTTTTTATCTTGGAATAGAGATAATGTGATAGACAAGACAATCTTTGAAAGTTCTAATATGGCCAACATCATTTCAAAAGGATTTGTTGAATACTTACTAGTTATAATTCACCTTATAAATCCTACAATTACTAGAGCCAGGAGAAAGCTTCCTGTCATTTTGGCATACTTCCTAGACACCGTCTGGGAATTTAGTCTACAGTATCTCTCACGGTGATTACCTAACTTTGGCTTGAGAACCTTTGGGAATTGGAGTCCCTTGCTGGTGAGGCTGCCTGGCCCATTAATAGGTCCAACAGTGTCACCGTATCTTTTCTCTAAACGAACATCTCTCTTCCTGTCGCTTCCACAAATTGATCCTCCACTTCAGGCCTCAACTTAAAAGACTTTTAATATGGGAGGGGAAGGGGTAGTGTGGGTAAAGGGAAACCCTTACCCTGAGCACTCAGCGTTTTGCAGGCTCCATGATGGGTTCACTTCACGTGACCTCACTAACTCCTTAAACAATCTAGTAAAGCAAGCAGCATTATGGCGTTTGACTCAGAGATAAGTCAGACTTTCCCCCATTTGGTTACTAAGGTTGAAACGCAATTTTTTTTTTTTTTTTTTTTTTTTTTAATGAAGAGGTTCTGAGTCAAGAGGCTGGTATGCTAATTTATATCTGTTAATGAATAGTTGCCTGGAATTGGCTTCCTTTTGTTATTTCTGAAATTGAGAGCACAGTTCTTTTTGTCTTAGGCAACTTCAGAAGGATGTTTTTTGACAAAGGTGGCTTCACAAATCCTTTTGCTACATGAACATATCGTAGCCTTTGAAATCACACCCAACAAAACTCTATTGCCCTTTAAAAATAAGACTTCTCTTTTAGAAATAATTCCAACCCTGGTAGAAATTTAACTGATTATGTCCCTTTCAGACTTGGGAGAAATGTCTGTGCTGGAGAGCAATAATTTTCATCACAGCCAGAGAGTACCTATCAACACTACAGCGAGTCCTAAACAAACAGCAAGTCCTAACGTCCCCGCTGGGAGACTAAACAGCCTGCACTAAAATAACATTGACATTCATGTTGAGACAATCAGTAGTGATTTAGGGTCAGGGTTTCATGGTCACAACCGCAAACTGTTTTCAGGATTTCAACGTCAGTGTTTGGAAATTCTTAATGAGTAATCCACTTATTTATGCATGAAATAGTAGTTTATGTGTATAGAACTTGGTTTTGTTGCATATATGGGTTTTTAATAGGCTTCATTTTTTAAAAGGCTCACTTGATTAAAAAAATCATGTTACCAAATAACTATTTTGAATATTTGCCCTTGTTAATTGGTTTTTGTGGGTGAAGTTTAGACAAAATCTCAAATGGCATCTAACTCAAAGTTTTTGAAAATGCTTTAACACAATGTGGATTCTTTTGGGTTACCATTATCTCATTCTGTGTGGGGGTTTCTTTCCATTCTTTTGTCAGGTTCTCCAAAGTACTTATCATTCAGTTTGAACAAACCATTTCTACAGACTGCTTCTTCCATGCATTTCCCAGTGATGCTAATTGCCCTTGAAGTTCATTTGGATTTGGAACTCTATCTGTATGGAAACAACAGGTAAGTATTTCTTTAAATTGTTGTAAATTATGTAAGAATTTTCATAAAACAAATAAATATGCCTAGAGAAACTAAAAGAAACATGCTATGATGTTAATAGGAGTTATCTTTGGATGATGAGATTATGGGGAACGTTTTCCTTACTGTCCTTAAATAATAAGTGTACACTTAAATAATAGGTGCACATTGCTTTTGTAATAAAGAAGCCTTATTTTGAAAAAAAGGCAGTGGCAGACACAATAATGTCCACACATAGGAAATGAGATCTCAGGTAAATGTGCAGGTGACAGAAGGCAGAGCAGAAACTCAGACACATCTATCTACTGATTGCAGAAACAGATTGTAACCTGATAGCCCGGCCCACCTGGCCCATTACATGCCAGTTTCTTTGCAGATCAGAAATATAACCCTAAACATGGTGATGAGTCTTTGTTTCCAGGTTATCTCTAACCCCTTATGGGAACGTCAACACCTTCCCCAGACAGCTCAGCTGAATAATTTTGGTTTTGAATTGAGAAACCAATTTAGTCTAGGCCTATTTGTTCTAAGTAGTATGTCTACTGTTCAGTGAGTAACAGGATAAAAAAAATGACTGTATACACATGAAGGTAATCAAACTTGTTAATTGTTCAGTCTTGATACTAATAGAGCTTACATTAGAGAAGTCAGAGAAGTTCTACCTCAGCATGTCTTGGAAGAGGCAAGTTCTCATAATGAATATAGGCAGATACTATTAAGTTTAGAAAACTGGCAGAAATTTTTGTCCCAGTGATGTTTACTTAAAGCTGATCTAGTAAACAAACTTTTAAAAAGTCTCTTAAAAACATACAGTATCAGCTGAGCATGGTGGCTTATGCCTATAATCCCAGCACTTTGGGAGGCTGAGGTGGGTGGATCGCCTGAGGTCACGAGTTCAAGACCAGCCTAGCCAACATAGTGAAACCCTGTCTCTACTAAAAATACAAAAAATTACCTGGGTGTGTTGGTGGGAGCCTGTAATCCCAGCTACTTGGGAGGCTGAGGCAGGAGAATTGCCTGAACTTGGAAGGCGGAAGTTGCAATGATCCAAGATTGCTCCGTTGCACTCCAGCCTGGGCAACAAGAGCAAAACTCCATATTTAAAAAAAAAAAAAAAAAAAAAAAAGACATCTATACACATTCATATAAATACTCATATTCAAAGACAAACCTATGACAAGTTTTATTATATTCATTTCCTCATCCATTAGTCCACTCATTCATTAATTCAGTGAATAATTTTTGAATATCTTTTATGTGAGAAGCAAAACCTTGGGCATTAGGGAGTGACACCAGAGGACAAACACAAAAATTTCTGCAATCTTGGAGTTTACGTTAATAGCACTATAGAGATTAAAAAACAAATAAACAAGTAAAATATGTAGTTTGTCAGATGGTGTTAAGTGTTACAAAGAAAAATAAATCCATGAAGGGAGGTAGGGTATGCCAAGTGAGAGGTGGGTGTGAGGTGAGAGGTGCGTTGTTTTAAATAGGTCAGGAAAGGCCTTACAGATAAGGTAACTTTGTTAAAAGATGTGAGAGTTAGTTCCAGATGTCTTTAATAATCTGCTTTCACAAATCATTTGAGCAGCAGAATTGGGAGAGCTTGGATCCAGTTTCTCTGCTGTTTTTATTGAACACTTGAAATAACCCTTTATTTTATGTTCTAAGGGTGGTACCTTCAGCACAAGAATCTGTTCTTTCACAGAATGAATAGACGGCAAACATTTTTCCCCCAAAGTTACATGCCTGGTGAACAGACTCATTCCGATGTCACTCCAGTGCTCTCACTGAACGAATACAACCATACATATGATCATTAGATATTTTTTTCTGTTCATTCACATGTTTGTTTTCTGAAGTTGACTATGAGCCCATTGAAGGTAAGAATGGGACAATGATTTGTTCATCTTGGCAGCCTCAATGCCTAACCCAGTGCCTGGCATAGGTCAGGTGCTCAATGATTGTCAGCTGAATAAATAAAGTTTGAGAGTAAAGTAGACATTGACTTTAAACAGCTCATGAGATGAATCCTCAGTGGCTTCATTTATCTACTAAAACATCTAAAGTGGATAAATGTCTTACATCATGACAGTCTTCCTCCTGCTTCAAGTCCTGTGGGGACCTGGCATCAAGGACCTGCTGTGTAAAATAAAGTGATGATGTCTACCCAACAGTGATGCTTTTGAGTAAACAGCTGTAAGAGGTTATTTCCAATCACGTTTTCCCCATGACAGTGCTGGCAAATGGGATAGCTGTTATCCCCACATTTTCCTTCTACCTCTGTAACAGATAATCTGCCTAACATCTTTTTTCTGAGATGATGTGGAGGAGTGAGACCCTTGACACTAGTTTAGCAGGCAAAAGTATGATGGTTTGTGGTATCCATGCTTGTGGAAGTAAGAAGAAAGGGAACACAGAAGCTTTATTTTATAGTGGAGTCCTGATACTAGGCCTTCATAATTGTATGGATTGGGGCAAGTTGCCAAACCTCTGTGAATCCGATCACCTCACCTGTGAACTAGGAATAATTATTACTACCTCATAGCCTTGTTGTGAAAATCAAGTTGGATAATATATGCAAAGCATTTGGTATGGTGCATAGTACATAATGTGGGTGTTAAATAAATTAACAGTAGCATTTTTACCACTGCAAAGAATAATCTTACTCTCAGGCAAATAGAATTTTTTATAGTTGTTGAATATTTATATAATCACTGAGGATAATGTTCATAAATATATTTGTATTAAAAAAATTTTCTCTTACACATCCTTTATTAATATCAAAGTAACCAAGTAACATTTATAGTATTCTTGAGTAGCTTATCACTTAAGAATACTAGGAAAGATGGCCGGGCATGGTGGCTCACTTCTAGCACTTTGGGAGGCCAAGGTAGGTAGATCACTGGAGCTCAGCAGTTTGAGACCAACCTGGGCAACATGGCAAAACCCTGTCTCTACAAAAAATACAAACAAATTAGCCAGGCGTGGTGGTATGTGCCTGTAGTCCCAGCTACTTGGGGTTATAGGTGGGAAAATTGTTTGAACCCAGGAGGTCAAGGCTGCAGTGAGCTGAGATCACACCACTGCACTCCAGCCTGGGTGACAAAGTGAGACTCTGTCTAAAAAAAAAAAAAAATGATATGAAGAAAGTATAAAAGATTGCATCCAAAAAATTTCAGCTATGAAGTGAGATGATATATAACAGGGAACATTTCCATGGTCTCCACACACATCCATGCCCAGAAACAGCTTAGCAGGTATTTTGGCATCATAAAGGTTCATGTAATCTCAGTCAATATGAAACTTTTCTTGTAGAAAGATACAGTCTGTGGAAGTCATTATCTTTTCAGGTAGGAAAGTAACGTTCTAATGGGGTCTGAACTCTAGACTAATAACTTTCTCTTGTTTTTTTTTAGAGTTTTCTTGAAGTACAACTAAGGACAGAGGTCACCACTAGTCACTAACATCACTGATTCACATGATTATGGAGATGGTCTATCTGATGCTGAAAATGTCTCTAGTTTTTTGACAACGGCTAAACAACCATGGGATCAAGTGGCCTTGGGAAAGCAGCAACGTTAGATGAACTGCTGCGCACGTGCATTGAGTTGTTTGGTATGATCCTTTTCTCCTTTCACCTCTTTCGGGTATCTCGATGCTCTGGCTTTCCTCTATTAGAGGCAAGTTGCTTGTGGAACAGAGTTCAGTCTCTGTTACCTTGGTATTTAAGGCCTTTTGCATTGACCCCAGTCTGCCTCTCCAGTTTCACTGCCCTTCGCATTTCTCTTCCTTTACTGCCCACAGCTCATACTGCAGTCCAACTGTGCACTTAATGTTTCTGGAACATTCCCTGCACCTTTCTACCACCATGCATTGGTCATATTCCTTTCATTGAAATTCTGCGTCAGGGCCGTCTCAGATGTTCATAATACCACTCCTAGTCTCCTTGATCAGGAATGCTGCTTGCCTCTTCCCTAATCCCACATCCCGTTGTAATTCCTGACAGCACACGGCATATGCCTCTGTGATTGTTTCTTGTTCTTTTGTCTCAGATGAATGTGAGTAGCACAGTTTACTGCATTCTACATTCATACACATCGTATCTACTACTAGATTATAGACTTTACAGCTGTATGCTCCTTGTGGTGTTGTTTTCATTTCCACCTAAAAATTCTGATTATCCCTTGCTGTGTTGTTGTTTTCATATCCACCTCTGATTTCTGGATTATCCCTTGCACAAAGAAAGTCAACTCACACGAGGAGTAGTTATTTATTTGAATTGATTACTATAGAAACCAGAGTTAAACCAGAGCAAGGTTGCCAGGTAAAATACAGGATGGCCAGTTACACTTGAATTTCTGACAAACATTTTTAGTGTAAGTGTGACCTAAATAATGCCTGGGACATACTTACACTGAAGAAATTAATCATTGTTTCTCTTAAATTCAAATTTAACTAGGTGTCCTGTATTTTTATTTATTAAATCTGTCAACTGTAGACCAGAGGAAGGGTAAGACCCACCTACCTTTACTTGCAAGAAAATACTAGCCGAAATAGGAAGTCAAAGATCATTGTTCTACGAACAATTTTTGACCCTAATCCTTCTCTGTCGATGTTAGAAAAAGTAGAGAATAGCACTGTTATCTCTTCACTTCTTGTTCTATTTTTTTAACAGATGACAATGGAGAGCTGAATAACAGTTATTTGCCAAGAATAGTTCTACTGATGCACCGATGGTATTTATCTTCCACTGAATTGGCAGAAAAACTTCTCTGCATATATCTTTTCAACTACTGTGTAATTTTTACAATCATAAATCAAGCTTTGTATTTAGATAGAATGTCTATCCAAAGCCAGTAAATTAAGATGAATAAATAGTCTTCGGTTATCCAGCTGTTTTGTGAATATATGTAGATGTCTAGATGAAACATAGCTGGATGATAGACCAGATAGTTGACTCTCCATCTGGATGTTTTGGCTGTACTTGAAGATAATCACTAAGATGTAAAATGAAGCAGGAACTGTAGGCTGGATGTTTCTAACTTGTCTCAAACATTTCTGTTGTTAGAGCAATGAGAGAATATTTAACAATCATTCGAGACCAAATTTATTTCTTCTGGGATAACAAAATGGTGGGCATAGAGGATGCAGCTTAATCATGTGGAAATACAGCCCAAATAAGATGCTCTTGCTTGGGAACAAACATCAATTTAGTTTTCACATCTCCCCTTGCTGCCAAGACACAATGAACATTCTAGCAGGTTTATTATGATTTGTTGACTGACACTAATTTTAGATTTTCTTCTGAAATACAAACAAAAACATGAATCCCATGGTTAAAAATGCCATTCCATAATGAGGGCTTTTAGCAGCCTACTACTTCTGTACATTCTGCAGTCCTGAAAAGTGATTGAAAGCTGATGACTGAAAATGCAGTCTCCCATTTGTAAAAGGTTCTATTCCCTGTGAGCCAATGCTTATTATATAATCTCTAATGCTGGTTCCTGCAGTCTTTGCCTTCTTCAAGCCCATGAGGCCCTGGAGATGAGTGATAACCCCTACAGGGGAGAGGGAGGCCTTAAAGGGAGAGATGCCATAGAGTGTTATTAGGGCCTGCCAAGGCTTCTGGAGCTAGTAGGGTGTCCACTTGTTCAGTTCAAGCTTCCTCCACTTTCTACTTCTTCTCTTCATCCTCCTCACAATCTCAGAGCAGAAAGGGATGTTAGAGAGTCTATAAGGTCTGTGAAAGTGAACAAGATCCTAGCCCGCAGTGGTCCAAGGGTTATATGAGTCCACTGTTGAAGTGTAGAACATAGGTAAGGATGGAGGGCATTGACTCAATCTGGCCATACTCCTGACAATCTAGACATTGTCCAAAGAATGTACCATCAACAGTGTTCTCACCCTTAGCGTGGCCACCAATTCATGAGACACAATAAAAAGGGATGTTTAGGCATAGTAATGTTTAATGTGGGAAAGGTGAAGACTACCTATGAATTGACATTTCTTTAAACTTTCCTCCCTTTGGATTCCTTGCTCACGCTGTATCCAGTGCCTGGCATATACACAAGCTCAATATAGATCTGTTAAAAGGAGTATGAATAAATACACTTGCAAGTAAATAACACAACTTGAGTACTAATATACCTGAAAATAACATTTTCAAATATTAAAGAAGAAGTTAGAGTACCCATACTGTTACACATAGCATAACCATAGGGATACGTTTTGAGAAATTCATCATTAGATGATTTCATACTTTTACAAACATCATAGAGTGTGCTTACAGAAACCTAGAAGCTGTAGCCTACTATATACTGAGGCTGTATGATACAGCCTATTAATCCTGGGCCACAAACCTGTATAGCATGGTGCTGTGCTGAATTCTATAGGCAACTGTAACACAATTGTGAGTATTTGTGCATCTAAACATAGAAAAGGTGCAGTAAAAATACAGTATAAAAGATAAAAAGTGGTACACCTGTATAGGGCATTAATCATCAATGGAGCTTGTAAGACTGGAAGCTGCTCTGGGCGAGTCAGTAAGCGGTGAGTGAATGTGAAGGCCTGGGACATTATTGTACAATATTGTAGACTTTATAGACACTATACACTTAGGCTACACCAAATTATAAAAAATACCTGTCTGTCCTCAATAATAAATTAACCTTAGCTTACTGTAACTTTTATACTTTATAAACCTTTGAAAACTTTTTTTTTTCTTTTCTTTTTTTTTTTTTTTTTTTTTTGAGACGGAGTTTCGCTCTTGTTACCCAGGCTGGAGTGCAATGGCGCGATCTCGGCTCACCGCAACCTCTGCCTCCTGGGCTCAGGCAATTCTCCTGCCTCAGCCTCCTGAGTAGCTGGGATTACAGGCGCGTGCCACCACGCCCAGCTAGTTTTTTGTATTTTTAGTAGAGACGGGGCTTCACTATGTTGACCAGGATGGTCTCGATCTCTCGACCTCGTGATCCACCCGCCTCGGCCTCCCAAAGTGCTGGGATTACAGGCTTGAGCCACCGCGCCCGGCTGAAAACTTTTTAACCCTTTTGTAATAACACCTTAAAACACAAACATATTGTACTGCTGTACAAAAATATTTCTTTCTTTATATCTTTATTCTACAACCTTTTTCTATTTAAATTTTTTACAACTTTTTAAACTTAAAAGCAAAGATACAAACACATGCATTAGCCTAGGTTTCGGTTCATACAGGCCCAGGATCGTCAATATCACTGTCTTCCACCTCCATCTCTTGTTCCACTGGAAAGTCTTCAGGGGTAGTAACATGCATGGAGCTGTCATCTCCTAGGATAACAATGCCTTCTTCTGGAATAGCTCCTGAAGAACCTGCCTGAAGTTGTTTTACAGTTAACTTTTTAATTTTTTTACAGAAGTAAAAGGAGTACTCTAAAATTACAAGAAAAATAGTATAGTAAGTATATAAACTAATAAGTCATTTATTCTCATTATCAAGTATTATATACTGTACATAACTATATACACTAGACTTTTATATGACTCACAGAACAGTAGGTTTACACCATCATTACCACAAACACATGAGTAATACATTGGGTTACAACCTTACGCTGGCTACCATGTCACTAGGCAACAGGAGTTTTTCAATTCACTGTCATATGTGCAGTCCTTCATTGAAGAAATGTCATTATGTGGTGCATAACTGTATAAGGCATTCATTCTAAATACAAAATCTTTTTGGTTAAAGTAGCATTTATCTGTACTGTCAATTTTAATTATGTATAGTTGCCAATCTATTTGTAATTACAGCTGGCAGTTACTGATTAATAAGTGTGGAGAAAAGCAAAACTAATTCAGGTTTCAATTGCTCAGTGTTGAAGTCATCAGAGGCCACTTCTCTTCGTATTTGAGTGTCCATATAACCCAAATGTCCCTAGGATGGTCCTCTTATTAGAAATTTGTATAAATTGAGGACACAGCTACAGGTATGTGCAAAGGAAAAAAGGTGCAAGGATTTTTTCTTTAACTGGTTTACGTATCGAAATGCCACTGGAGAAGGCTGCAACGAATTTCGATTAAAGATCTGCTACTTCATGAGGTAAATATATTTACAAATTTAATGTCTTATAGCTTCTGGTTCTGGCACAGTTGTAGTTTCTAGTTCTAGAATTGTTGATAATTTCCTTTTCCCCAAGCTGCAGACCTAGTTTGACAGAAGCATCTACTCTGATACCCCTCCCACCAACTTTGTTAAAATTGGTCCTCCTCTGTTGGTTGGTGTGGGGGGAACTTTATCTTCTGGACTAGAGATCAAGTAATAGTAAATGTGATTAGGGAATGAAACTAGCTCTTAGAAAGGGTGGATTTATTTTCTTCTACTCCCTCACCACACACATTCCCACCTACTCATTGTTAATTGAAGGAAAGGTTTCCTCTCAACCGAAAGACGGGCTATGAATGGGAATGGTTTTAGACTGAAGAAGAGCAGAGAGAGGCTCCATGTGATGGATGGAGATTTGGAGACAGGAGATGGCTAATTTGAAGTATGGTCCTGGATGGTCCCAGGTTTGGTGTTAAATGTAGTCTGTAAAATGGTACAATCGTTTCCATAGATATCTAACTTGAAATCTTCCAGCTGCCAAAAATATTTGATGCCTTTCAGGTACTGGATTCTGAAGTTTCCTGCAGAGTTTAATTTGGATCTTGGTTTGGTTCGCATGACTGAGGAATTCCGGGAAGTAGCTAGTCAACTAGGATACGAAAAACACGTCAGCCTCATCGACATATCCAGCATGTAAGATGGCACCAACGTCTTTCATACTTGATGAGTCCACTGCTATAGGGGAGGAAGTAGTGATCACCCAACTTGTCCTTAGTCCATCCCATTCCTGAATCCAGGTTTGCTTCTGTGAGCAAAGCCTTGCTGCAGTGAGCTCAAGCCATATTGGACACAACTCATCTCTCCAAGCTGCAGTTTCTTTATTTACAAAATGTGGACAGTACCTTTCTCATAGGATTACCACGAGCATCCGATAAGTACACAAGATAGTGCATGAAAGCATTTGGCACACAATAGATGCTCAGTATTAGTTACTGAGTCTGAATCTAGTTGATGTCTCTTATGCCTTCACTACGCAAAGTGTGGTCTACAGACCAGCAGCATTGGTGTCACCTGGGAGCTCATTAGGAATGTAGCCTCTAAGCCCCACCTTAAACCTGAATTGGAATTTGCACTTTAAAGATGCCCAAGTGATTCACATGCAAGCTCTTGAGAAGCTCTGTACCATGGTGCTGCTGAGGTTGGCCTCAGAACAACAACCTTATGGTGGTTGACCATAGATGTGAGGAGCTGGTTAGCTTAGTTATTAGGTAACTGGTACAATTAGGCCACTTTCATATCAACTAAGGAACTTTGCACAGGGAAAACTATTTGATGATCCTAAATATGGTTATCCATCTTGCAAATGTATGTTCTTGTGTGTTAGGTATTCATATTCTACTATGTTTTCCACTGTTGATTACTATTGAATACTTCTTCAATAGTAATCAATAGTGAACAATCCAGGAATTATAAGGGATGTTTGGTGAAAATACATATTATTTAGGATCATTCCTAATGAATCAGAACCTCTGGCAGTGAGGTCCAGGCCTCGGTCTTTATAACGAGCTTTTCAGATAATTCATGTTATACTGAAGTGTGAGAACCACAGCTTCTACTGGTTTCCATGTGCCTTAAATCATCAACTATATCCTGATAAACTCCCAAATTTATATATACTAGCCCTGACCTTTCCTTTATGATCCAGACCTTGCTGGTCACAAAGAGACTAAATAAGAGATTCTGGATGGATCAGTGCAAAACTTACTCTGTCTGGAAAAACAACTCCAAATTTATGTTCTGTTGGCACTTGGTCAGTGGTTTTCTCTTCAAATATGAAAGATGGCATGTATTTTGCACAAGTCCCTGGAAGCAAGCCAGGAGTTACAGAGTCAGTAGGTTAATAACTTCCATTGAGTGAAATGGGCTTTCAGCACATTGACCGGACTCACTCTTCTTTTTAGTCCTTCCTATGACTGGATGAGAAGAGTCACACAGAGGAAAAAAGTATCCAAGAAGGGAAAAGCCTGTCTGCTGTTTGACCATCTGGAGCCCATTGAATTGGCTGAGCACCTCACTTTTCTGGAGCATAAATCTTTTAGAAGGATCTCAGTAAGAAACTTGACATTTATTCTTCCAAGGATAACAACCACCATGCCAACTTTCCCAAGAGCTGCATTTTCATACTCTGAAGTGTTGGCAGCTTCTATCACTGTGCTCTGCTGGAAAAGTGCCCTTAATTCACAGGAACAATCCCTTTTAACCAAAGATAAATATTATCCTGTCTTTATTTTATGGCTCAGGAGCTATATTTCTGTCGCTATTTTCAATGTCTCCTTTCATAGGATTAAAGCGTGATTTTTCTAAATACTCAGTGGAGATTTAACCATTCAAGGTTGATTTAGCTCCATTGACTTCTCCCAAATGAACATGTTTTGCTAGGCCCTTCGTTTTTGGGAAAAAATATTTAGTTAGGTTCAGATGTGTATAAATGGCTATGGGTGTAGGTTGAAAATAGGAATTGTCGACTTTAAGGAGAATCTCAACATCAGGTTGTTTCTTTCCCAGAGATAGAGATCCTGAATTAAACTTTTCTTTCCTACTCATCTTGATGGAGCCTCAGTCTTTCCCTAACTCCCCCTTTTCTTTCTCTGGTCTGTGATTTCTTAGCCTCCTGCTCTCTATCCTCCTGTTATGATAACATTTTCCACACTGGTTCACAATCAGCCAGCCACTTTGCTTTGCCTCGCCAAGCTCTGGGAAAGTCACTCCTCTTTTTCCAAGGTGTCAGAGAATGAATTACATTATTGCTTGCAAAGAAGGCCGTCTTGGTTCGAAGCATGAATTTCTGAAAGGCTGATTCTTTGACTAAGTAATCCTACTTGGAGAGGATCTTAACAATTCCCCGCAGGCAGGCCATGGAAGGGAGTCCACTGCACTGTTTATATGATAGAAAGCTTATATGTATTTCTTGACATCCATGCGAATATTCTGAAAATGTGTTTGTCTTGCAGTCTTCAACTGAATTTTTTCCCTGTCTTCTTTTTCTTGAAACAACTTTACAACTGATGCTAATTTGAAATAATTACATTTATGTTCACATCCTTGTCTTTATTGTATGCCGTTGTATCTTTAACTTGCCTGATTAGAATCACCAGCAATGTTTTAAAATTGGAAATTCTTAAGTTTTTCTTTTGGAGACAGTGATTGTTCATACCTAGGGTGTTCCCAGGAACTAGCATTTTACTGAGTGCCGCAGGTGGATCTTATCAACCAGTAAATTTTGACCTCATTGGAATAAAACTTTGAATCTTGCCCCTTTCTCCTCTAACTGACACTGTGATGGACAGTAATGGGTGTCTGTAGGATGAGAAGTGGGGTTTGAAAAGCAGCAAAATAATATTTTAAAAGCACATGTATATTCAAACTTGTAGGATACCATTTTAAATGTGAAATAAATTGTTCTGTTATGAAACAATATCTCACCTCTTCTATGCAATATTCTAATTTTTGGTTTTACAAAGGCTCCATTAATTCAGAATCTCTGAATCTTCCTTTCCTAGTTCACTGACTACCAAAGCTATGTCATCCATGGCTGTCTGGAGAATAATCCAACTTTGGAAAGATCTATTGCTTTATTTAATGGAATCTCTAAGTGGGTCCAGTTGATGGTTCTTAGCAAGCCAACCCCCCAGCAAAGGGCAGAAGTTATCACAAAGTTTATCAATGTTGCAAAGGTATGTCTGGTAATCAGACTGGGGTTCTTGAGTTCTAGATGTTCATTTACTCTACTGATAAAAGTCATTGAGGAAATGTGGTGATCATAATACAAGGGCATCGGACTCGCCGATGTCTAATGAACAAATCATATTTCTGCCATGCAAGAAGATTTGCTTTCAAAAAGTAATGCTTAGAAGCATTCAATGTAGCTATTTTTCTGTGAAATAATAGATATATTTCTCTGATTCTATTTGTGCATCCTTCTAAATTAATGTAATTTTTTTCCTTAGGTCCTTGTTATTAAAATTGTGCATGCATTTACTTGTAATTCAGAAAGTTTAGAATAATTCAGAAATCCTTAAAAAGCATTGATGCATTTTAATTGCAGAAGCTCCTTCAGCTCAAAAATTTTAACACCCTGATGGCAGTGGTGGGAGGCCTCAGTCACAGTTCCATTTCACGCCTCAAAGAGACCCATTCTCATCTCTCTTCAGAAGTTACAAAGGTACAGTAGATTTGATTCTAATCAAAAATAAAAAATGCATTTGTAAATTGGTCAAGTTTAGCATATGCCTAACAAATGTCACTCAGAGTGGGAAAGTTTTCCTTTTAAACCAATGGTAGGTTATACATGGGGACAAAGCAGAAAGAGTAGCCACACCAGCTAAGTCCACCTGGAAAAACAGGTTGGAGGTGGTGGTAAGTGTCCCAGGAAGAATGCTTTGACATACCATTAACATGTTGTAGTGGTAAATATTCAACAGATATCTATTTGGTCCTTGCTATATGACAGGCACTGTGATACACAAGGTAAATAAGAAATAGGCCGGGCATGGTGGCTCACGCCTGTAATCCCAGCACTTTGGGAGGCTGAGGCAGGTGGATCACCTGAGGTTGGGAGTTCAAGACCAGCCTGACCAACATGGAGAAACACCATCTCTACTAAAAATACAAAATTAGCCGGGCATGGTAGCACATACCTGTAATCCCAGCTACTTGGGAGGCTGAGGCAGGAAAATCGCTTGAACCCAGGAGGTGGAGGTTGCAGTGAGCTGAGATCTTGCCATTGCACTCCAGCCTGGGCAACAAGAGCAAAATTCTGTCTCAAAAAAAAAAAAAAAAAAGGCAGAAATAGTTCCTACCCTACCTCCTGAAATAAAGTCATCGAATGACTACTCTATTCATGACATTGTGTTGGACACATCAGAAGATAGAAAGAAGGGGAAGACATAGGCCTTGTATAGAAATCCTCAGATTTACAGCTGAATTGTCATGAAAAAGTATATATTAGATATTAAAAAGAGTGATCATTTTACAAACTGAGCTTTTCTACTATATTTATTTTCATGGCGTGATAGTTGTGTTTCCTCTTGAGCAAAAACAAAGATTTTATAAGGATGAATCTTTATGAAAGGATTCTCACGTAAGAGTACACTTTGCTATTTCAATCAGGACATGTCTAGCTATGAGTTTAAAAGAAAAAGAAAAACTCTGTTCTACAGTAATTAAACAACAAGGAAATGTATTGCCTGTCAGGAGTGGTGGCTCACACCTGTAATCTCAGCACTTTGGGAGGTGGAGGTGGGAGGATTGCTTGAGGCCAGGAGTTCGACACCAGCCTAAATAACATAGCTAGATCCTGTCTCTACAGAAAAAAATTAGCCTGGTGCGGTAGTGTGTGCCTATAGTCCAGCTATTTGGGAGGCTGAGGTGGAATGTTTGGTTGAGCCCAGAAGTTTGAGGCTGTGGTGAGCCATGCTCATACCACTGCACTCCACCCTGTGAGACATACCTGGAAGTCCAGAGAAGGAGCTAGCATGATCTGTTCAGAGCTCTGACTCAGGTGCTCTGCCTGCCTCTGAGTATCAGGGAGTTTTGTTTGTTTGTTTGTTTGTTTGTCTGTCTGTTTTTTTCATCAAACTGGTTTCTCTCCTAATTGGGCTGTCTGTAGCAACCAAAAAATTATGTTCCCTTGTTCATAATTTGAAATAATGAAAGTTGAAGATAGGGAAGACTTCTCGCTTCAACTCCACACATAAAATTAAAGACCTCTTGAGCCATCTCAGGTCTTAGGTCCATCCCTGGACCAATAACGGTTGCCAGAGGAATACAATGTACTGATTGGCTTAACCCTGAGTTCCTGAACCAATCACAAACTAGAGGGATGCAATTACACTGATGATAAATCAGAACTCAGTCTTGGTCCTGGAAATGGAAACAGCTCTGTCTGAGTCACATGGGCTGCTTTGGGAGATAGTAAACTAATCAAAATTGGGATCTACTAAAAAGGTCTAGTTGCTGTGAAGCATCCATTGATAACTTGTCCACATAAACAAGAGGAGGTAAGCCACAGAAGTACCATTGTTTAACCTCATACTCTTACTCATTCCAAGTAGAATGGGACTTATTATGTAATAAGTACTTCATTTTCTTTTAGCTTTGTACCTAATCTCAAGTAAAAAGCAAAACCAAATTTTAAATGTTGTGGAGAATAAGAATCTGATAGAAGCTTATAGAGGCTTGGAGAACTACCAGTGTATCGTTTTAAATTATTCATGGGAACTTCTCTGCCTAACAGAGAAAGAAACTGAGGCCCAAAAAAACTGAAGCGGCTTGCTCAAGTCACTCTTCTGGTTAGGCAGAATACAAAATCACAGCTGTCTCACACCGCGTTGCAACTTTCTCTACCCTATGCTGTCCCAGATTGACCTCAAGTAATATCTGGAATGCAACTTTCTTGGAACAACTAAAAAATTTTTAATACTCAACATGCTTCAATTTGTGGACAGTAACATTTTCATAAATTCCAAAACATCTAACTGTACATGATGCCATTTAATATCACAACATCCCAGTAGGTAGGCAGATGTGTAGGCTGTTTCCGTTTTATAACAAAATGGAACAGGCTGTTCAAGGCACAGCCAGGCCTAGTACGTTTTTCTAACTTTCTTTTTCCTGATTCATATTTCCCTGCATCAACGCTGGTGCCAGTGATACTTTTCTCAGTAGCCGAGGAATTTCCTAGCCATGCATTGCAGGGCCTAGGGGTGTGCAGAAGGGAGAGTTGTTTGAAAATTCTACTTTTCCATCTGTTCCCAGAACTGGAATGAAATGACAGAGCTGGTCTCCTCCAACGGCAATTACTGCAATTACCGCAAGGCCTTTGCTGACTGCGATGGCTTCAAAATCCCCATCCTTGGAGTACACTTGAAAGACTTGATAGCAGTCCATGTCATTTTCCCAGACTGGATGGAGGAGAACAAAGTGAACATTGTGAAAATGCACCAGCTCTCCGTTACCCTGAGTGAACTAGTCTCCCTGCAGAATGCCTCTCACCACTTAGAACCCAACATGGATTTGATCAACCTGCTCACGGTGAGTTCCAAGGAGCCAAGTTCGGGCTAAATAACTC